TTATAATCTTTTAATAACACTGACCCTAGTATTTTTGAATACTACATTAGTGAATTCCATATATTAAGTACATATAATTTTAAAAATAATTTAATTGTATTCTCTACACACGTCTGTTTAACAAAATTTTGTTAATCCTGATGTTTATTATATTAATTAAAAATATGTATCTATATCAGAAGTTAAAACTGACTATTGCTATAGTAAGTCATTTATTTATTCTGCATTAAGGTATGAAATATAAAGTATCTTCATGGGAACAAATGATGTACTTTATTTTAAAACCAGAATTGTTACAGGAACAGTGTGTCTGTCATCGTAACTTATTTCACCTAATTAAATTTTGTTGTTGTTTATATTCAAGTTAAATTAAAATAATCATCAACCAGTATATTGTGATCCTTAACTTCATAAGAAAACTTGTCTTCGAATACAACCTCAACTGACCTAAAATGTAATAATTATTTTTTTTTTTGTTATTTTTGAAATTAATTAATTATACACATTTTTCATGTCATAAGTGAATTAATATATTTAATATTGTTAGCGGTATTAGTTCGGCTTCAATAAAATTTTATTACATGTATAAATATATATATTCTTTTGACATATTTTAAATTTTTTTTATATTAAATGTTATCAAACATTTAAGGAATTAAAAAGTATATTAATATATATATAAATATATATATATACATATATATTCTTTATTATTTTTTATGTATAAATAGTATTTTTTTTCTCCTCTTAAGATCTGAAAGTGATCCGATAAATTACAAAATAATTTGTGAACTGTCCATTTTTCAATACTAACCGTCATATTCTGTTAAGGAAAAAAGTAATACTTTAATCAATATCGTTGAATTAAGCATTCAAATATGTTAGATCATAAAATATAAATAAACAAAAAAAAGGATACCTTAGATTAGATTGGAGTGGCAACCTTGTTTACCAGAACTCATTTAAGCACGAATAATGGGTGATACTTAACTCATATAGGTAACAATTATAGCTTACAGAATGTTGATTAAGATATATTATTAATTTAATAAATCCTTTTTTTGGAAAATTACTTTTGATTTCTTAGAAAAACCTCATTTATCAAATTTTTGCAAGCTTATTTGCTTATCTTTCTCTATCCTTTTATTAATTATGTCCTTATATTCATATGCATTTTAAAATTATTATAGTTTAAAGTCATTTGAAATGGCTTTAATAGTTCCGATACTTTTTACGAAAAACTTCATTTATTAAATTTTTCCAAACTTTTTTATTTATTTTATTTATATCTTACATCTTTCATTTTTTTTCTAATCTACCGTATTCCTGTGAACGGACACCTACTGATTTTTTTCGACAAAAATATATAAATTTTGTAATTATTAGGCAAAATCTTTCCGGGAAAAAATATCCTTCAAAAATTCTCTAATTCGAATAACTGACGTTAAGACTGTGATTTTACCTATAGGTGTAATTATGATAATATTATATATGTATGTATTTTGCCAAAAGCATTGCCTATCGCTTTTTTCGACAAAAGCACATAAATTTTGTAATTATTACGAAAAGTCCATCTAAGAAAAAAATTTCCTTTAAAAATCCTCTAAAGTATTAAAACTATTTAAAACAAATCAAGTTGATACTGTGACTTAACGTATAGGTATAAATATTATAATATTGATTTTTATGACAGTATGGTACTGTAGACTGGGCTGTAGTATGGCATGTTACCTGGCTGGGTATGCCTTGTCGAAACTCTAAGCTTTTCAATACCTCATTCCTTAATTTACACAGCGATATTTTCAATATTAATATTGGCCAGACCCTTTGCCATCCTCACCACAGTGAAAATAGAGGAACTGTAGAAACCAAGAGAATTTTGCATTGTTGACCTAAACATAGGCTAAATCTTATATTAAATATTGAGCCATGGTATTGTATTTCTAAGTGTGTGGAGCATTTGGTGATCGAATTTAACTTGTGTTGTTTGTGTTTTTATGCCTTTTTGCTTTGTGTATTCCGTTATAGCTAATGGATTTTTTTTTGGGTGCCACTGTTTACGTTTTTTACGTTTGCTACGTCAATGACAACTAATCTTTTAAGTAGTGAAATACACCGTTTCCCTGTAGTTGTCCTTTAAGACGTGCTTTCGAGTTTTTTTCAACAAATTAGAACGTATATAGAATATTTGACTATATCTTGATGATACATTACAATTATATAAATACATTACATTATGTTTTTTTCCTAATTAATAGTAACATAATAAAATAATAGAAATCATAGTAATCAAAAATAAATTTAATATATTCAATAATAATAAAAAAATGTCTCGCCTCAATGATCAATGAATGAATTCATCTATTTTTATATTTGCAGCTCAAAATCTATTGATTTTTTTTTAGTTAATCGCAGAAACAAGCACACCTTAATCGTCATCGCTTTTTATGTACGTAAATTTATTGAAAGCAAAAGTAAAGCGTCATCAACAACAACAACTACGCAGGCAGCACAAGCAACTACGAAAAACACGACGCTGTGAGTAGTGCAGCATTGGCGCGCATTTTTTGTTGTTTTGAATGCTTTTAAATGCTTGTGTTTACGTTTTTACACTAAAAAAAGAATAAGAAAAAAAACTCATTTGTTGAATGTGTTTTTTGCATGCTTTAGAAAAATGTTCTCGTTAAGTTCTCGTTTTATATAGTAGAAATGTGAAACTAAATGATTATCTAGAGATTTATTTCTTATTAATTAACTTAATTAAATTGATATAGACACGCAAAAAAACAGCACAAATTATCCATTTATGGGAAAGTAAAATATTACAGATATGGCAGTTACAGGAAATTTATAGCAATGGAAGTAATTAGCGATGATATTAACAAAGATTAATAAATTATTATTTGACATATATTTTCGAAGTTCTGGTTCAATACGGAGGTATGACGACTACAATATGCTTTAAGGAAATCATCTCACAAGCTTCGACTAGCACTTGACAGACATCCAGGCAAACCTGGATGTGAGGCTAGTAAAACGATAGAAAACTGAGTGGCGCAGGTACTAAATAGTGCCTACGTTAGCTCAAAGAGGACTTAACGTCCGGATAAGCAAAAGCGAAGGACTTAAGCCGTCCGAAAGGCAACTCAGAGCCGAGGAAAATATTTCCTTTAAAATAGAATATTAATAACTTACAAAAATGCTACTCTTATTTCAAAATGACTCATGAGGGATGTTCTTGTATCTGAATTTATTTTAAAAATAAGATTCAGAAATTAAGACTTAATACCCAAAACAAATAAGTGTGGACAGAGTATTCTCTCATAAGTATAAATGTTTGAAATCAATTATTTCAAAACCTTTTACCATTGTTTAACAATTAACGAACCTATAAAAAAATGATTATAAATACATATATATTATTTATTTCTAATAATGATACAATGTGACTGGTTTTTTCAAAACCATTTTATGAGAGAATTTTTTATAATCCGTAAAACTTAAATAGCAAAGAATTTATAATCTATCTATTAAACACACAGATGAATTTATCAATGAAGTCAATTTTTTTTTATTAATTATAAAAAGCTTTCAATTAATAGAAGTAATAAAGTATTGCATCAAATTTTTTTTCATTTTCCAAACTTTTCGGAAATAGCTCCTTAATTAATGAAATTAATCAAATACTTACAATTTTTTAATGAAGTTATATACAATATCATTTCTTTTTAATTTTTCGCGTTTTTGAAAAATTATTACTTGGTTTATTTTGCGATAGATACTTTGGAATATTTGCGATAAATACAAGTTGTAATCCAGTAAGCCAATAATCATAAATAGATTCTCAGAATTATCTAAATAACCTAACACTCTTTATGCGAAAAATATTTATAATATATCAATCAATTAGTATTTCAATAATTTAATGCTATAATTATGTGTAATTTAATTTTAAAGAAAAGGTTTCATAGTGAAAATTTTTTTTAATAGAGTGGTTATTGTAATTTACTCCTGTTTAAAAAACTTTTTAAAATTAAATTTAACAATTTTATTTAATTAACAAAACATAAAGTAAATTTTGCACTGAACTGTGTCAACAGATTTTGAAGCAGTTATGTATATGGTAAAGTATTTAATATTTTATTCATCTTTAGTCATCCCGTATATAATTTTTGCACTGCAAGCGTCATATATAGAACCAGATCATATTAGAAACCAGATCATATTACCACAGAAGTGCCCAAAATTTTACTTAATTAAAATATCAAAAAATTTTTTCAAATTTTAAAAATTAATCAAATTTGAAATATAATTTAATATTAATGATATTGTTTTACTGAAATCAGATTTTTTTGTAGCCTTTTGAAGCAAAAAAATAAAATTTTTTTCATTCAGAGTTTAACTGCTATGTTATTCATTATTAATGTTCTATGATCGGTTTTAAGCCACGTATACCACTTAAGAACTCTGTTACAGGATAAATAATATCCTGTTTAATATAACATATTAAACGTTGTATAATATATTTATGTTATGTGTGTTGTATAATATACAACACATATAACATAAATATATAGACTCTATAGTACGTATACGCACCGTAGTACAAAAAAGTATTATTATGTATTAAACTTGTTCGATTTTAAATGTAAAAATGAGTTAGAAAAATTTATAGAAATATATTATTCATGCATATACCATTAGAAAGTTGATGAAAAATTGATTACTTGTATGTAAAATAAAGTGAAAGTTTTATCGAAAGTTTCTACATAAATAATTTTTAAAAAATATGCAATAATAAAACAAAAAGTTTTATGTAAAGCTTGTTTGTTTATTATCGAAAATTGTTTCCTTTTGTTTTCTATATTTTTTTCTTTTTATTCTAATGTTTAAAAAAATTTCTGCATATTTTGCATTCCACGTCTTTTGAATATCTTAATTTATACAATTTTTTATATAAGCGAAAAAATCAATTATTTATGATATTATTTTTCTTTTAGAATGGGCTCATTCAATGCGGCGCCAAAAATAAATAACATAGACTCTCAGGATGACGGACTCGAAATACCCAAAGGTCTAACCACAAATGATCTGCTACAATATGTGAAACATTTACGTGGTGAAAATCAACACCAATTGCTTTCCAGATATTTCCTAAAACCATCGCTGACAGTGATGTCCAATGATATTACTGACGGTTTCAGTTGCTTAAAATTAAATTCAGTCTCCAGAGGTAAAAGAAAAAAGAAACTTATTTTCTAATTCGCGAAAAAATATAAAAAATTGCATAAATCATGAGACAAATATTTTCTAAAATTTGAAAGCCAAAATAAAATTTGTTAATCAAATTTATGTTTGCTTTCTTCAACAGTTTGCAGTGCTCCCATATCATCGCCAAATCATATACGTCTGTTCCAGTGGAATATATTATCACAATGTAAGTAACAAAACAGGATATGTAAATTATGCAATAGCATTAATTAATCCTTAAATATTTTTGAAATTTTAGCACTTGGTCAGAATAACGATGGCTTTGTTTGTTGTCCGGATGATGCCTTAACTTGGGATCATCGCAAATTTCTCATCATACAGGAGATTCTACAAAATAATCCGGATATAATTTGTCTACAAGAGGTTGATCATTTTAAGTTCCTGCAAAATATTTTGGGCACACAAAACTATGAAGGCATTTTCTATCCCAAACCCGATTCACCTTGTCTGTATATCGAAGAGAACAATGGACCAGATGGTTGTGCTATATTCTACAACCGTGATAAATTCGATTTGGTTAATTTTGATACTCGTATTCTGGAAGTTTGGCGTGTGCAAAGCAATCAAGTAGCCATCGCTGCTAATCTATCTATCAAGGCAACGGGCATGGAGGTTTGTGTTTGCACCACTCATCTGAAAGCACGGCATGGTTCATTGCTAGCGAAGCTACGCAACGAACAGGGACGGGACTTGTTGCGCTTCGCAAAACAATTTGCCGATGAACGACCAGTGTTGCTATGCGGTGACTTTAATGCGGAACCAATTGAACCAGTTTACTCAACAATGTTGAACTCAGATCACCTTAATTTATCAAGCGCATATGCGGATATCAAAATTGAAGCTGAAAATTTTACAAATGACCAAAATGAGGCAGTAGATATATATGATAAAGTACAAAATTCCATGCAACATGAACCACCATACACTACCTGGAAAATACGCGAGGATGGCGAGGAATGCCATACCATTGACTATGTCTTTTATTCAAAGGATAAATTTAAAGTAATTATTCATTTAAATTTTTCGTTATTGTAAAAATAATTTAAATAAATTTATATTTTTAGGTTAAAAACTGCTTGGAATTTCCACAAGGTGAAGAAATTGGCAAGAATCGCACGCCCTGCTATCAGTATCCATCAGATCACTTCTCTTTGATATGTGATTTTGAATTTCTTAATAACGAAGAGCTTAAAAATAAAATACAGTGAGATTTTACAGGGTTGTAGGGAGTAGTTGCACAATTCTATTGTAATTCCGCTGGTATTCACAGATTCAATTTATAAATTGTGATATTAGTTGTTAGCTATATTTTTAGATTTTTAGTTTTGACGATTTTTTAATACAGGAACACAAAATAAACTTTATAAAAACTATTTTGACTTATTATAATAAAGAAACTCTTGCATGGACTTAAAAAATTGCCTTTTTTTTCTAGAATATACTATTAAATTATTATAATTTTATAAAGTTATAAAAAGGATGTCTTTCATACACTCTTATGCCATTAATGTAAAAAAGAAGCATTAATACTATTAAAGAAGATACAAGATTAAAATAAGCAATCCATAATGGAAGTGCAGATTGAAACAGGAGTATCACTCTCTGCAGCTCTTAATAAATAATATATAGTATATATTCCTAAACGCAGTGATTTAGAAATAGACACTATTCTATTCTCCTAGAATAAAATAAGAATAAAAAAAAAGAATTGAAACAAATTTTCTCCACTGTGCTCTATAAAAAGCAATATGTTCTCACCCAAGAACTAAGCTGCCTTTGTTCTGCGTGAATAGCTCGTGATCAAGTAGTGTGAGGGCAGTCGGGTATACCAAATATTAGAAAGTTATATGCAAAAAACAATAAATAATATTTTTATATACCTAAATAAAAATTCCAAGAAAACAATAAAAAAATGGCTATATATTTAAAAAGAGCGAAATTAAACCCTATACGAGGATAAAACTAAATTCATTTATAGATTACATGAAAAGGAGTTTAAAAACCCAGTACATTTAAAATAAAAGACTCAAATTTCATATGAAAAGACAAAAAGAAATAAATCTATGTAAATAGTTTACAACATCGTTTTTCGATATGGGGGTTGCGGTGATATTAAAGGAGAATCGCGAAATAATAATGAAATCATTTATGAGAAAAAGCATTTAGTATAAATATACACTACTCACTTTATATTATTTTTATTTATTTTCACTATCACGGTTCTAAAATGATCTTGAATAGCTGGTTTAAAGCAAGTCCTTGTATTACAGTGCCCTGGTTTCAAGAACGGCCGGGTCTACGTCAAGGAGCCTCGATGTTCACTTACCCCGAAAGGGATTTTACAAGCAGATCTCAGCGGACTACAACAATAACATAACACTGTCCTTACACTTTTCTAGTCAGTTATAAAAATATAGCTGCTGTAGTCCTATATCTCGTTACTATCAATGGTACTATAGTGATAGAAAATTTAAAATAACTTCGTTAATAATATATATTGATTAATTGTTGGAATTCATTCTTCATCATAGAAATTATCTCAGTGTAACATATTATGTACGAGTATATAAATAGAGGCACAATATGTTTATTATTAATTTAATGAAAAATTTGGTACCTAATCAATAAAGAATATAATGAATAGCATATACATAGGGTACTGGCTCCCCTCCAAAGTGAGTACAGCGATCATGGCTGATCTTTTTAGCTTTTAAACAATTCTTATTAAGAAAAAAGCAGTTCCCTCTTTAAGTGAAAATCATAATGGACATCGCAACGTGAGATGGGAATATAAATTTCCGATTTAGTGATCTTCTCTTAGCCCAGATCAAAGCCGAATGGACGCAGAGAGTATGACTAGAGGTCTCATTTGCTTCCAAGTAAAGTCAATCAAACAAACAAACATATTTTGTTAAATTTGCAGTGAGCCATACATCCAGCTCGAACGAGATTCTGTTACAGTACAATTGATAAAGGAGAATAAGACTAAGATGGCTTATTCATTTTTTCTTAAACCCTAGGTATTTTAACTGACAATTATGAACTTTATTTTCTTTTTAATATTTATAAAGAATTAAGTGAACTGGGTGAAAAATACAAGCTTAATGTCGAAAATTACAAACATAATTTGTGGTAACAGATTTTTGTTCAAAATCTTGTATTGTAACTCATGAAACCTTATCATCCAAAGCTGTTGAGATTAGAACACTATACGATTATAATATAATTTTGTTCCAGGTGAGGTCTAGGTGATGCAATCAAGCACAAAATGATTACCAGCTTCTATTAAAACATTATCTTCCTTCTAGTCACATATATAAACAAACAACTAACTCCACCAATAGAAACAGTTGAAATAACTTAATTTTACTTGAAATTTTTGGATTTTCATTAAACATAAAGACTATATTTGCTTATGTATTTTAATTTGTAAAAAAAGTATAAATAAACATTAAATTTAATATATTAACATAAACTAGAATTTATATTTATAACAAATTATGCAATAAATAAAATCTTTCTCTATAAAAAATTTTACATAATTTTTTTAATTATTATTTAATTATTATAATTATTTATTATTAATAATTATTTTTTCTAAAAAAGTGTAATTAATTAATATAATCTACATATGAAATGAAAACTAAAAAAATGACTCTTTCTTCATTGTTTCGTTGTATATAAATCCAGTTCCTATATCCTTGGAGTCAATCACACTAAACGCAGCTATGAGGACATTAACGATAGTAACGATAAAAATTCCAATTACCGTGAAGTTACTAATTTTATTAGCCTTACTTATTTCCTCTTCATTTTTAATATCGTAACGAGTATTCCAAATGAGTCCAATACCAACTATAATCTTTAAAAAATGAAATAATATAAAAAAATGAAAAATGTAAATTAATCAAATTTCATTCTTTAAAATTACCTGGAGAGCGATACTCATAGCAATCAAAACTATACCGACATAATAATATGGATGTGCGCTATTGGTGTCGAGTACAAAACGCAATTGATTAGCATTAGCAGCAAGGAGTGCTAGGTCCATCATGCCTTGAGCGAATGTCTTTTTTCGCTGATAAGCATTAACATCCGGAATAGGAGTGAGTACACCATTTATTTCCACAAACCCAAGCATTTCTGGATTAATGGGTATACCAAAATCAGTTTCATCAATACCATCAGATAATAACGCATTATCAGAATCAGGTGCTAAATGAATTATAAAGGAATTATAAAATGCTAAAATGCTGAATATTTTATAAGAATTTCTTACCATCTTCAGTCATATGTAAATCTTCATCTAAGTCCTTTAGAAATAAAAAAAGAAAAATAATCATCAATTAAATCAAAACAAAATATCACTATATATCACTATAGTAAAAAAAGAAAATAATAATAATAAAATAAATCAAATTTTTAACACTCTGGTTGAGTTCGACATGCTTTCAAATACATTTCTAATACAGTTGAGATATTTATTATTATATTATAAAACTTATATAATTCTGATATTATATTGTATATAATGTTGGGATGGGCCGATTTTTTTTTTCAACGCATAGTAAAGCACAATTCTTCAGACCCTTGTAGGTAAAAGTAATCAAACATTTGAGTATTTTTCCAAATATATTGTATTTTTGAATTCGCTCATACAAAATTTTAAATAAAAAGTATAAAAATTTCAAACATAAAAATTAAAAACAAAATTTTTAGACTTACTTCATACAAATACGATAACATTATCGAAATATATTGGATAAAGAATGTCACATGAACCACATCTAAATTTGGGTGCCTTTGCTATGACATAAGATTTACCTGCTAAAACCAAAACTCGAACCCGATATTTTTCTTTAATATTATACCAATAAACCTTCATTTAAGCCCAATTTTATAGAACGGAAACTAGGACTATATGTACATTGCAGCTTATAGCTGACGAGTACATAAACCAATATAAGAACTGTTCTGACTACTCCTGAACTATTTGGAGTATGGTATGCTTTTATATTATATAGTAAACTTTTATTAAATTTGGTGTCTTACCACTATAAAAATTCTGTTAAAAAAATATAATATTTCTGATAGCTTAGCTGGATTAATAGTCCCGTAATCAGATAAATTATACTAAGCATAACGCATCTGAGTCTAATGTGACAACATTATTTAGTATATGTTGTTTAAACAGTATTAGTGATATATAAAAATAATAAAAACTATTTACATTAAGACTGAAAAGTTTTCGGAAATTCTCATTTAAAATTCGCGCGCTGTATATTTTTCGATATTTTAAGTTTATGTAGTTTGGCAGCACTGTCCTTAATTACTATGCCAAAAATGAGCTCGATCTGTCAGACAGTTCGTTTACGGCAGCTGTTGAAACCAGTTCACCTCAGTAGTGCGTTGCGAAATGTCTTCGACGGTCGTACGACCGTCCTGGAAGGCTTTGTACCACTCATAAACTTGAGTTTTCGATAAAACTGATTCCCCATAAGCCTTTTGTAGCATTCGCAACGATTCTGCACACGAAATTTCGTTCGAAACACAAAATTTGATGCAAACTCTTTGTTCAATATTTTTTTCCATTGTTTTTTTCGCAACGCCCTACTGAGGTGAACTGGTTTCAACAGCTGCCGTAAACGAACTGTCTGACAGATCGCGCTCATTTTTGGCATAGTAATTAAGGACAGTGCTGCCAAACTACATAAACTTAAAATATCGGAAAATATACAGCGCGCGAATTTTAAATGAGAATTTCCGAAAGCTTTTCGGTCACAATGT